GCTAGAAAGAAGAGGTGGAAACTTTTATCAAAATAAAAGTAAATTATAATACATTGTCGCTATCTATGTATTTACATTATACTTATTATTGAAATAAATGGTTCAAACTCTATATAATAATATATTTCCTACATAAATTTAATGTTAACCATACTTTAACTACAGTTTTTGTTTGCCACTGAAATTTAAATGTCAGTAAACAATAGTTCTTTCACTTTAGATAGTGATATAAAACACTCAGTGCAGATTCGAATCCCCATCCCATCAAACATTATCGCCCTTTCAGCCGTGAGGGCGTTATAAAGTGATGGTCAATCCCACTATTCATTGGTAAAAAGAGTAGCCCAAGAGTTGGCGGTGGGTTGTGATGACTAGCTGCCTTCTCTCTAGTCTTACACTGCTAAATTAGGGACGGCTAGCGCAGATAGCTCTCGTGTAGATAAATTACACTTTATGAATATCCGTTTCTAATGATATGTACAATCATAGCTTTCTCTTTCTCAGAATGTAATGGTCCTAAAAAGGACCTTTAAATTTTATTCGTTTAAGAAAAATCGTTTTCTTCAGGAGAAGAATAGCTTTCTTGTTCATTATCTTCTGTACGAATCTCCATTTGAAATATATTATGTATATTTTGTATAATACCAATGGCTGGCCCAGTGAAGTAGTAATTGGGAACATTTAAATGTTCAGTCATATGACTGCGTAAATAAAACAAATTTCTATAAACAAATTATACAGGACACTCACCATAATGATTTGAAAGGAGATGATGATCACATGATTTGAAAATATTCATCATAAAGTATACACTCGTAACCCATGTCTGTAAGTATGTTTATCTATTATTTTTATACACATATATAATCCAGATCAAAGGAACTCTCTAAGAAGTGACGCCAAAAGGTGACTAATGCTTTCACCTTTGTTCGTTAGTCGCATAACCACTACCTGAGAAAAACAAATAATGGATTAGTTTCTACAAAAGTGACAGAGAAATCAAAAATTTTAATTCCGTAATTCATAAACACCATCAATAGCATTAATTAACAAAGTTGATCTCGCTAAGGATGATATATATAAATCTTTAAAAAAATCTGACAATAATTAATGGCAATGTTTACTGTAAATATAAAAAAAGTGAGAAACTTTTCATCAGTAGAGGCAATGTGTGCAATAATAGCTTTTTCTTTCTCAGGATGTGATGGTCCTGAAAAGGACCATTAAATTTCATGTGTTTAAACAAAATCGTTTTCTTCAGAAGAATAGCCCTCATCTTCACTATCTTCAGTACGAATAATTCCGTAAATAATTCTACAACACGAACAGCACAGATA